TTTGAATCGGGTTGGCTTGCTCTGGTTTTTGAGTCAAATTTGATTCTCTTAAGACTGGATGGGTCAACTTGGTCCAAATGCTAAATTATTCAATTAGTTAGACCAAGTCATTTTGATCAGTGGGTGGTAGTCGGATCGTTTGATTCGAGTTTCAAAACTAATTTGGAGTAAGAAAAAATATTGCGATAGAAGACTACAATTATAACACTACTCACTTATTACAAGTATTATTTAATAAACTGTAATAAAAATAAATTTTATGGAAATAAAATTTTTTAATTAAAATAATTATTTTTTGCCAACATCTCTCTTCAAACTTCAAAGAAAACGAAGGGTCTGTTCTTCAAACAAAAAGTCATAAAACGGACGTGTCTCATGACAGGATGCAACATAAAATGGTCCTGACCCAATTTTTAAATTAAACTATTTGCACATTCAATTCAACATTTGGAATAAAAGTAGTTTGACAGGGAAGAAAAAAACACATTGTATCTTTAAAAATACAAATAAAAACACATGATTTAATTTGAAACTATGGTATAAGACATGGTTCAAAAAGAAAATAGCTGAATCAATCTCACTCTTATAGAACTGCTAAAAAAAAAAAAAAAGATGGCTTAATATTTAATAGTTTGGTTAGTTTGACCCTTCCATTTTTTGCCATCGATCCATTTTCATATTCATGACCAATTGACCATTAGATGAGAAATGAGCCATCAGCAGCCTTTGCACCATCGGCTCACTGGAGAATCCGGATATCAATGAAGATATGAATATTGCAAACTCTCTAAATATGGGTAATTATGAAGTTTGAATTTGATGATGGTTTTTTTTTTACCCTGTCAGAATGAATTTAATGATGATGATTGATAAACATGCTTTTCCAAATATAAATGCTAATGAATTTGCATCAAATAATCTCAAAGAATGTGATGATAAATGATTATTATTTATTAATTATGTCATTTTTTTTAATTTAAAGAGCATACACTAACAACTTTAAGTTATAATTAATTGAATCTACGAACTCTCATTTATAATGAAACTTTTATACAACTTGGCCACAAGGTCATTAGTATCAATTATATATTTCAATTCTTTTTTATGATTATTAATAAATATTGACTTTTTAATTTAAGTATCTATATCTTACATATAATGTAATAATTTTAATAAATTATATTATTTATGAATTATATTTTTTCAAATTCCATGAAATATAACGGACCCATAGTAATTAAGTTATAATGAATACTAATTGTTGCATTATTTTTACAATATGATAATTAATAAATTAAATTTAAATTTAAATGTATTAATTTAATTACAATTGCACTTCCTCAATTACAGTAAAATCAACCAACCCTGTTGATAAAAAAAAAAATCAATCAGCTCTCTCGACATGGGTAAAAATCTAAGATTCAAATTCTATTTAGATAATTAAAAACCCGTGAAAATACTGTCTTGAAATCCCGTTAAAATTTCTAGAAAAATATTCAAGTAAAATAAATAAATAATAAAAATAATATGCTTCAATTTAATTATTTTCAACGACGTAATAATGTGAAAATCCACTAGCAGATTATTATTTTTTTGTGAGCAAAATCCACACAGCAAATTTCCCTTACATTTGAAAAAACCCCATGAAAGAAATGATGCCTCCCTCGCAGTTCAGCTCAACGGTAATTAAATTACGCGCTACCGTTATTGCCGGCAGCTTTCCCTCCACCCCATTTCTCGAGGATCTTCTTTCCCATCATTATCGTTCACATTCCTTCTAATTCTTATCCTCAGCTATTTTTTTTCCCCCTTCTCCTGTAATGGCTGCGCAACTCGATATTCATCGTCAATTATAACGAACAGGTTCGTCTTCCATTAGTCTTTTCCTCTCTCTGGCTTTGTAAATGAGAAAATTATCGATAGAATAGATAAAAACGAGAAAAGGAAAATTATAGTTGTCCTTCTTAAGATTGGTGAATTTTTGCCGTCATCTTAACCGGAATAGAAGAACAGAATGTTAGAAAAGATTGCGTAAAAGATGACCTGTTTCAGCCAATTCAATGCCCAAGTCTTGAAGGGCCTTTGTTGACTTCTAAATGGGAACCTGCATGATATGTTGTAGATTGCAAAATTTAAATCCTCTCAACTCTTTGCATTATAAAGAAAATTCTCTGACTCTCATATCATCCATTTAATACAGTTTTTTTTTTTTTTTTAAATGGTCACTTGGTAGACGATAATTTCAAGCTGTTGAACCTCCAAAGATGGGATCTCGGATGAAAGAAGATGATAGAATTGAAAGAGAAATCCGAAGTCTCTCGAAACTTCCTGAGAATCGGAGATGTATCAACTGCAATAGTTTGGTATGAAGTTCTCTGGTTTATTTATTTAAATTTTGAGCAATTCTCCCGCAAAAAAAATTTGATATCTTTCACAATAAGACATTCCTTAATTATCTGTACCTGGATTGGCACGAATTAGGGACCACAATATGTCTGCACCACCTTTTGGACATTCGTCTGCACAAACTGCAGCGGAATTCAGTACGTATTAAGAACTATTCTACATTTTACTTTTCTTTTTTACATCTATCAAATTGCCGATAATTTCTTTTTTCTAGTTTTGTTTCCGATTCCTTTATTTTCCTGACTAAGTCCATGAAATACAGACGAGAGTTTAACCATAGAGTAAAATCAGTATCAATGGCTAAATTTACTGCAGAAGAGGTCACTGCTCTTCAAGCAGGCGGCAATAAAGTGAGCATCATCGTCTCTCTCCCCCCCCCCTTCCCAAAACCTCAAGTCTACTGCTTATGTAGTAATAAGCTGGTAATAAAAACCTAACTCCACTTCGTTCACAGAAAGCAAAGCAGATTTATCTTCAAGACTGGGATCCTCATCGTCATTCTTATCCCGATACCAAGTAAAACTTAATTTGTATCTCTCGCTCGTTGGTTTTGTCATAGTACTGCATGCATTATCTACATCTGTTTTAATTGATGTGGTCTGCTTTCAGTAACATACCTAGACTTCGCGATTTCATCAAGCAAGTTTATGTGGATAGAAAATTCAGCGGTGAAAGGACACAGAAGAATCTTCCCAGACTCAGATTAGTAAGTTCTGCATCATATTCTGAAGAAAAACAGAGTCCTATTCTGTCTGATACTCATGGCACTTCAAATTGTATTTAGCCACCAATCAATTCGTCCTGCTGTGTCCTTGTCAATACGTGCTTCTTGGACAATGATAGATGACAGACAAATATTTTATTTTACTCTACTCAGAATAACAAGGAGGAGTCCTACGACAGAAGGAAGCTCAGTTTTTCCCGAAGAGAACGTTATGAAGATGGAAATGACATGCACAGTCCTAGTTCACGAAACGAGGACAGGAGTGTCAAGTATTATTATGATGATAGAAGAAGTCCCAGATATGCCCCGAGGAATGGGAACCCCCGAAGAAATCCCATAAAAATTGAGGTTGTTGATGATAGGTTCAGAGACGATGAATCTATAACTCGCAGGTTTTCAAGCATAGAGTCAAAGCAAATAGCGGTTCCATCTGATGGTCAAAAGAATGTGGACAGAGGGAAGGTATATTCAACTTCTCTTTGGAGCTTTCACTACTTAAATCATTTTACCTTGCTAGTGTATTTTTCTTGTAGTTTTGATTTCCCGTTATACCTTTTCGGGTTTTGTGGAAAGAGCCTTGAAATTTGAAAGTGCATTCTTCTTAATTATTCCGCATTATTTTCTGTTTCAACTCGAACTGAAGTCTGTGTCTGTTGAATTTCAATTTCAGAAGGTTCCACTTGCCAGTGGCGGGGGATCCGCTAAGGAGAATCCAGCCGAACAAAAAAGCCCAGAAACCCAAATTTTGAGTGTCGTCACATCACAGGTTTCTGATGCTGCAACTGCACCGGAAGCTCAGTTTACGCCTCAATCAAATGATGAAAGTGACTGGGCTCCATTTGAAATTTCCACAGAAAAGGAGCCTTCTCAAACGCCATTTACAAATATCTCGAAGTCTTCTACAACAGAGACAACAACTTATACAAAAGAGACAACTAAAACTTTAGATGCTGTAGAATTTTTACTCTCTGAATTGTCTGGTCCCTTGTATGCAACAGCTAGTAGTGCGTCTGAAGTTCATGCTGCTGATAATGATACTTCAACTGCGAGAGCAGAATATATCTCTGTGGATGGGGATTTAGCACCTCCGACCTCAGCAGGCCAGATAACTCCATTTCCCAACAACTTTGGTGCTTCCTCAGATGCATCAACCAGTGACTCTAATCTGACCCAACCCTCAACAGCTTACAGCTCTGCGATACAATCAGCGAGTCCATCAGTCAGAGATGTCCCTTCGCTTAATCAGGTGAAATATTCTTCACAGCTTTCTATCGTCTGAGAAAAATGTTTGAAATTTTATACCTGAACAGTATTGAGGAGTTGTAGAAGCCAAAAATATGAAAGCCCGCAAATGTATGCCTTCTCATCTGTTTGCCTGTATGTATAGTTGCTAATTATCTTCTTGTTTGTTATTACATACAGCCAACAGTTGCTCTAAAAGCGCCAGACGTTTCAAGCTCTCTTATGGAACTATCTCCTCAAGTTCCATCAAAACTTTCTCAAGACTCCAGACCTGATGTTGGAAGCCAACCAAGGATAACACAAACCAAGTCTATGGGAAGAAAGGAAATTCCGGCGGTAATAAATGATGTGTTGTTGTACCTTAAAAAAAACTTAAAAAGAGACTGATTGCATGAATGAATTTCTTTGCAGAACCTATTTACTATAAGCTACTTACCAGGACCAGCACCGCAAGCAGGCTGGCAGAATTTTCAACCTCATAATATGGGATACGGCTTGCAGTATTATTCTAATACAGCAGTATGTTGTCCGACGACTCCTCACAGAGATTACATATATATATATATATATATATGTATGTATTCTCTGTTGGTGTTAACCTTTTAAACCTATGCTACAAAGCTAATACGATTTTTCACTTACAGCCATTCTCGGCATTTCCCGCGGCAGCAAAGTCCACAAACCCATTTGATATAACTGACGGGAGACCTCAAGTCCGTGCTTCTCCAGTACGTATAATATGAAGTCTGATTTGGTGCAGATCTGATCAGTCCTTGCTTCTGGTTTTGTTGCATGCTTTAACATCTATCTAATTCAAATGCTTGTTTTTTTTTACCCTTAATTAGACACGAAATGTCTTTTGCATACGTAACAGAAATTGAGGGATAAATCATTCTGGAGTTGGCAGTTGCCAATATTTTTATACGACTCAGAACCCAATGAAATGATCATCCAACTAACTGTGTACTAAGTATAGCATGGAATCAATTCATATCTCACCTGTATTTCTCCTTTGAAGGAGTTTGATGGGGTATTCTGCATTTAGGATGGGGTTTACCTTCTTACATTTTATTAATCTCAATCATGCTGAGCTTGGAGAAGGCACTAGCTGTTTAATGCTTTAAATCTGTATTGAAGTTAGAATTCAATTACAAAATCTTGTTTTCAGGCGCGATCATCTGGAATTTTTATTCACATACAAATCTTGACAAACATTTAGAAAAGTTCTTTTAAAATCTTGTTCATTTGGTTTGTTTTGGGAGGATTTTTATCATCTGTTCTCGTCCTGTCTCCTTTTCCTTCCTTTCATGATTTTTTTCCCACGACATTAAAAGAATGGTCGAAATTGAGACAATTTCAATGACTCGTCTTGCATGAGCCTTAACATAACATCTGAATTTTTCGTAATAATTATATATCTTATCCCTCAAAACTTGGTGGCATTTGTCCACAGTTTCCTGCTATGGCAAATTTGCATGGCGCACATATGTCAACTGGAGCAGGATTAGTGCGTGCTTCAAGCCTTGGGGCCTTAGGGTCAATGGTGCCTCCATCCCCAAATTATGCTTCTTCTTCAATGCCTCCGCAATCTCCCTTTACTCCCGGATCTTCTTCTGGTATTGACCTTGTGATATTTTATTTCATCCAAAAAGTTCTCCGTCAATGACAGTATTGATTATTCCTGCATTTCAGGTCCATACTTCGAGCAACTTAACAATAATATGCTAGCTCCCAGGTACCTCTCTTTATCGTCGTTTAGTGCAGTCTCGTGTCAGCATGCATGGTTGAAGGTTTGTGTGTGTTGGGGAAAGGGGTGGGGGGAATACGGTGGATGTGGATTTCAAAGGTGAAAACACCTATAATCTCTATATTTTATAGAAAAACTAAATTATTTATAAGTTATAAATAGTATAATTTGTCTCAAATTACGTGTGAAGTGTGAGTTAGTTATGATCACAATTTCGTTCCTATCAAGAGTAAGAATAAAAAGCTCCAACTCGATCTTTCTCTTATCCTCATTACATTAAGTGAAAGAAATTCAAATTATTAGAGAGACCACCTTTTTAATAATAATAATAATAATAATAATAATAATAATAATAATAATAATAATAAAAAAAAAAAGAGAGATGAAGTGAGAAAAGAAGGAAAAAGAGCAGTCATTATGTAATCATCGTGGCTTGTGTGTGTAAAATCAAATAAAAACTTCAGAATATTAGGGTATTTTTGGTTTCTGTTGTCATTTATTTTTAAAAAATTGTTTTGTAATATAGTTTTTAAAATTGTTTTTCAAAACACAATGAAATAAAAATTCATTTGGTTATGTCAATTAAAAATAATTTTAAAATTAAAAAAATAGAGTGATAGTGATCATTATAGGTAGTTAATAATGGTGATTAATAATAATAATTTAACAAAGCAACTATAATTTTCAATAATTAAATATAGTATATTTTAAAAATAAGAAAACTAAACCGAAAAAAACTTAAAGTTATTTTTTTTTGCTTTTAACAACAAAAATGAAAATAATTTTAAAAATAATTAAATGAAAAATACCTAGGGTCTGTTTGGTTTCTGTTTCATTTTTTATTTCTAAAAACTGTTTTATAATACATTTTTTAAGATTATTTTTAAAACAAAAATAAAATGAAAATTCATTTGTTTATGTAATTTAAAAATAATTTTGAAATTAAAAAATAGACTAACGGTGATGGTTTCAGGCAGTTAATGACAGTGATTGATAATAGAAATTAATCAAAATAATTATAATTTTTAATAATTAAATGTAATATATTTAAAAAAATAAAAATAAAATGAAAACAACTAAAAGTTGTTTCTATTTTTTTAAAAAATAAGAATAAAAATAATTTAAAAACAACTAATGAGAAACATTTATCCAAACAAATTTTTAAATTTTTTATTTTTTAAAATTAAAAAATAGTTTTTAAAAACAGAAAACAAACATACCCTTATACAAACAAGTTTTAAAATTTTTCTGCTTTTAAAAAACAAAAAAAATAAAAAATAAAAAAACAAACATGCCCTTAAATTGGCGGTGTTTTCACTCACCTTTCCGCAAGTAGATGTCATGATTTGAGTTGCATGACATCTCGTGTCTGAGTGCTCTCTTAGTTGCTTACGTGAATAAAATTCGAATTGCTGCTTAATATTTTCTCAGACCCCAAAGAACTGGAAGCTTCAATAATGGTGAAACAACCTCTCAACATACAGCGAGTGGATACATGGCTCCCGGCTACACTCTAAATTCTTTTCCCAAGATCACAGGAGGAAATCCATTTGGATAGCGTGAAAATTTTCCTTATATTGGGACGACTTAGTTTGCTTCTCAGATGGCAGATTACTATATGGCCCTGCGCCTATGAATGGGTGAAGATGAATTTTATATTTGACATGTTCACCAGCGTACGGACAGATAGCCTTGCAGAAACTTGAAATCACGGGGTTGCTGATGAAGTGATTTTTCCTCCAAATGCAGGCTTGTGCGGCCAAAATTCTCTATGTATCGGAATTTTCTGTAAACTAGCACTGTTTATATTGCATGTTTATTATACGGAACTGTCAAGCGGAGGGGGAGAAAAATTTTGGTTTTCTGTAATTATTATTGCCGACAAAATTTGATTTGTATTATATAGCACACAACTGTAGTGTGGATATGGTTCTATGAAAAGGTGATGTGATGAAATAATTTTATATAGTTGTATTGAGAGAAAGCAACTACTCAATTTTACTTAACTAAAATTGAATATTTGAATTTTATTAAAAAAAAGATCATATTGAGAGATACCATAATTCGACGTGAAAATACTCAAATTTAATTTGACAGTATTAGATGGTATAAAAAAAATAAATTTTATGTATATTTGTGGTGAATGAATTCTTTTATTAGATTTCGTCCATCTAAAATTTAAATACTAATTTTGGCAATCTAAATATTAACAAAATTGCAATTAAAAATAAATTTTAATTACTGAAGATAAATCTTTTAAAAAAACTTATTACTAGCTTTAAATAATTTAAAGGTTGTGCAAAAACAAACATAGCAATATTATGCACTTCAATTAAAAAATATAAGATATTTTTAACTGAATATCGCTTAATAAATTAGTTAATTGTTTTCAAATTATTACTATCTTTTCATATTTAATTTACCCTTATTTAATTGAATATTTCACTTAAAAATATATATACTTCTTTTATTCAAAAATATAAGATATTTTTTGAGGAGTTAAATGTTCAAAAGTGTAAGATATTTTTAATTTTTTGAGGTGTAATCATTATGTTTTTTTTTAAAAGTGTCCCTATTGATAATGACTTTATATTTATTATAGGATGTTTTAATAAGGATAAATATGAAAAGATAAAGTTAGTTAAAAAGTAAGTAACTACTTTATTAAGGTGAAATTTAATTAAAAATACTTTATATTTTTTAACCAAAAGGAGTATAAAATGAATCATTTATTATTGGCACATATTTTTTTTAAAAATACATTAATTATATCTTAAAATAATAAAAATATTTTATATTTTTTTAATGAATGGGGTATCTATTAAAAGATAACGCCCATGTAATCATCACAGAAGCCTACATGATTGGGGGAAACACACACACACACAGTGTACGATAAACGGGAAAAAATCAAGAGTAATTTTCAGCCCTTCACACATGACGCTCAACAATGCTCATCATTTTCTTTTAAGAAGTTTTGAAGCAGAAACCTCAATTGATTTAATAGTTTGAGCTTGAGCTGCTTTAACTTGTATAATTCCATGCTCAACATTTTACACACAGTGAGGAAATATGTGGATCTGATCTAGAGATCAAAACTATAAAAGCATGGAATCCTGATCAATCTGACAAATAATGGTGGAAATTAAATTACGTAAGATAATGATTCATGATTAAGATGTAAACTCCCAAAATGAGCATTAAACTAATTGTTTGTGCACAAACCATATATTCGTTTCAAAGAGAGTATCATATTTGAGAAAATGAGTCATGCTTATGCAGAACTAGCTAGAGAGTGGGGGCAAGGCAGTCTTTGAAAAACTGAAGGCACAATTCGTAATCGACTTTCTTGATTACCGTGCATGACGAGAATATTACGTACATACATATATATAATATATGTTTCCTTCAAGATGTAATTGCTCCTCTTGGTCTTTCCAACCTCTTGTACATACCTCTCAGGAGAGCTACGCTTTATATAGTTATTTCACTTCTTTCTTGCTCACACAATCTATATTAAGATAAATTAATAGTCCGACACTGTGAATAAAAATGTGGATGGATTGATGATCCTAATTAATTAATTAATCAGTGCTGCATGTGATCTTTTTAGGATGGATACTGGCTATGTGAAGCTTTTGAAAAGAGAGTGATCATTTTATATAATTCAAAATTTCATTTTGATCGTCATCAGACCATATTCCACGGGTGAAGATCTAATTGGGATAAGTTATAATATAAATATATTGTACTTTTATCCTTCCCCATGCTAATATGGCTAGGAAGTAGGGAGATCATTTTTGTAGGAGAATTGCTGAGAGCAATTAAAATCACATATAGTCTTGGTTATTGGCATCCACGGTAATATCAAAATCATTTCCATTTAGCTTTTGGATATTTAAAAAAAGAAAAAGAAGTACAGTGAATGGTAAACTAATTCTTCCTGCTTTGTTTGGGGACAAATCCAAAAAGTTGTGATGGCGTGATGATGTCACTATCCGGCGGACAAATTAATTTAAGCATACCAAAATTAAAAAAAAAAATTATTGGAAAGGCTGTTGCCTATGATGATCTCATAATTGAAAATGATACTCCCTATTTTAAGTCATAAAAGAAGAAAAAATATTTTATAATATAAGATATTTTAATAAAAATAAATTTTTTTAATATTAACCTTTTCATTATTTTTTTTACTTTTTAATATTTTTTATAAATAAATATTATGAATAATATTTTAAAAAATTTATATTTTTATTTTAAAATATATTTAATAAAATTTATTAATATATGTGATTTTGTTAAAAAAATATTTTATAATTTAGGACAAATACAGTATTTTTTTTTTTAATCGTAAATTCAATACTACCTAGCTAGCTAAGAGAAACCTGCACACAAACATAGACGCAATTTATGTGAAACTTGTAAGCATTTACTGAAACAACTTCCATTGAGGATAAATAACAACATATTGGTAATTAAGCTCTACGCAGACGTCGAAGCATACGCAGAGAGCAAAAGCTATAGAACCTAGAAACCGTTACTGCAGCCACCCCTCGTGCAAAGCTCCACGCACAACTTAGCAATTTCTATCCCATACCAAAATCAAATTAAAACGAAGGAAAACTGATGGGCACCTATTTCATACCACATAAGTAGGGCTAGCATTTACAATCAGAAAGCAATATTTAATTTACTCACACTTGACGACTATTCTCAGGGTTGCTCAGGGGTTTTGTCCGTCCGAATGGCAGAAAAAGGCTGACCCTTTGTCCAGCTCCTTAGCCTCAGAATCATAAATACAATCATTCCACACAGAAAACCAAGAGCCGCACTTGAACCCACCAGCGAAACTGCTGTACAAATAAGCATCACAAAGGAATCCTCTTTGGTGTTCATGTCCCTAGAAGCCATGGCTAGCTCAACCCCAGCAAATAACAGCAATACCCCTAATATCCCCACAGGGAACTGGCTTAAAATGAGAGCCAAAGATTTGCCTAGTACAAAACCCAGCACCAATTTGGCTGCACCAAGAAGAGCCACACAAGCACCACTTCTTCCACCAAACTTGTATTGTCCTGCAAGTCCACCGGCTCCGTGGCAGCAAGGCATAGCACCAAACCAACTTCCCGCCAAGTTCATCAGTCCCACTGTCACTGAAAGTGAAGTGGCTGAAAAATCCTTCCCTGGAAACAGGTCTGAGGACAACTTGCAAACAGCTATCACAGAGTTCAGGATTGATAGTGGCAGCTGGGGAATTGCACCTTTGATAAATCCTTTCTTCCATGCATGTTTAGAGATTTTCGCAATTTCCAAAGAGGTGGGTCCAAATTTGATTTCATGCACCACCTCAGGCCTTCTTATGAAGGCCAAAACAACCCCCAATACAAACACTAAAAATGCAGAAGGAAGTGAAAAGATAAGCTTTCTTATCCGGTTCGTCCCGTTTATTCTTCGACCTTCAATCCGTTGTTGGTGATCACCCAGATCGTAATCATGGCCTTCTCTGATTTCACATCCATGATTCTCACCAGCTCCGTTCACTATGACAACAAAGCAAACACAAACAATGGCCAAAACCAAGCCATCCAAACCAAACCATTGCCTATTTCCAAAAGATTTAGATTTGGCCAAGTCTTGCCTTGTCCGGACGTATTTAACAGCAGTCAATGCAAAGGACAAACCTTGTGCTAGTTGAATTCCCCTGACGACGCTCAGAGGAATGAGCTTGTACACTCGCTGCATCAACCCCGTCACACCCAATACCAGTAGGACCCCGCCGGTCAAAATTCCGGAGGCCATGATCTCCGGCACCCCAAAGTCAAGCTCGGAGAGGGCCTCGGCGGCGATGGACTTCATGGGCTGGACAGGCATGGGGACGCCGTATATGGCTCCTGTGATGACGTTGTAGATGCCAGTGAAAATCAATGTGGTACCGAGGTTGAGGTCTCTGGCTAGAGTCAAGGCCAGTACTATGGGTATGTAAGTGCCAAGGTCTCCCATGGCTCCATTCAACTCCGCCCACTTTGAACGGAAAACCAAGTTGGTTTTCACTTTCTGAAGGATTATGTCGGAGCAGAAACCAGTCGTTGAATCGGCGTGAGCTATTTGAGAGGAGGCTTGGGCAGTTCCAAGGTCTAGAATTGAAGGGGTTTTGGCCGCCATGGATGCTGTTTGAGCCTTTGGGGGATATTCAAGTGTAATGAGAAATGCGAAGCAGGGGTTATTTATAAGGATAACTTACGGAATGATCATAATTACACAAGTCTTCAAATTTTAGCAAGATCGAATATTTATAATTGGTCAACATTATAACTATTTTTTAGTGTTAGTGCAAATGTGCAATGAACAAGAGCTATAATTAAGCTCCTAAGGCTTACCTCTTGATTAAGTCTGACGTCACCCAAAGTTATGGCCAACTTAATTTGGTTAATAATTAAAATCCTGATCATGTAATTCGTTGACCCATATCGTTCCCACTGGCCCAAGCACCCATTCATGTTGCTGATCATAGACACCATCATCATCATGAATGGCATTTGTGTCTTAATCCAACTACTAGTGCCTCCTAGTGTTCAGTATATTAGCGTGGTAGTTCTTTTCTTTCTTTTTCTTTATTTTGCAAAGAAAAATTTGCGTGGTAGCTCAAATTTGAAATACCATATCTATCGGTAAACTTTACATCATCAGAGAGAGCTCAAATTTGAAATACCATAATCTTTAGTTTAAAACTCTATATCATCACTTGAAAAATGATGGACCTTGTCATCGGAGAGAGCTGAGAATATAACGGTATACGTAACAGAAAACAGAACTGGGTAACTTGTTCAGCCTTTTGACTAATTATAATAGTTTGAGCTTGCACAACTGATATCCAGACCAGAACTAGAAGCATGCAGGGAATTCAGAACCTGATGACTAATTATTGATGGAGACCAATATTTTTTACTAATCCATTTAAAATAGCCATTCATACTTAAAATGTAAACTTGGCATTATTAGACCAAAGTGGGGAATAGATTAACCAATTTTTATAGAATATAGATGCAACCATGACCATTCATTTTAAAGATAGGATCATATTTGAGAAATGAATCATTTTCCAACTTGCCGGACTAGAGAGTGTGTGGAGGCAAGACAGTACAGAGAGTGACCTTTAAACCCTAAAAGTCAACTGGCGATTTCGGTGATTTTGACGAAGAGGGAGAGCACTAAGATTCAAATTAAATATATTTCGTTAAGATATTGGCGTCCACTCTAAACTTGACAAATATTCAAGCCCTTTGGTCTTTTCAACCTCTTAAGGAGCTCCTAAATTTAACAAAAAAAACATAGGCTGTGTAGAAGTGGGGACGAATATAATGACCCAGGTGAAGACTCGTGCATGTCTTGTGACAATTTAACCAATAGTTAGTTATTAGGGCCTGTGACTATAAGAATAAGTAAAAAATGCTTGTGAACCAACGATCCTGAGCTAAAAAGGCTGCTCACATATATAACTTCGATCCCTAACTCTCATCTGGTTGAGGGGGAGATCACTGGCTATGATATGAAGTGATGAAGTTTTGAATATTATTTTATCTTTCATCAGGACCGTATTTCATGGCGAAGAAAATGGGATGGATTTTAACTATTCATTCTTGTCCTGTCGTCCAATACTAGTGAAGCTTTTGGGTACAGGATAAAGCAACACTACTCGTAATAATGGTTAATTAAAACTCTCTTGTTATCTCTTTTGGTCAAAATCCGGAAGATGTGATGGTGTTAAATAATTATATCATGCCTTGCCACCATTTAGTTTAGTGGCCAAAACTTCGTCACTTGTTCAAGCATATCAAATTATAAATAATGCTATTCCAGGAATGGATGCCACAATACCCAATAACGGAAAGTTATGCCTTTTGTTTTATGTCGCCACGAATCCAAGAATCTACCTCACAGGCACAGCACTAGGGGAGCTACGGATTCTTATTTATTTTTGGTAGGGGAAAGCCCCCTTTTTCTTCCACTTTAATTTTATCCTTTTGTTTAATTAGTTGGGTAAATGTTTAATTAATATTAAGTTACGGAAAAAATAAAATGGTTCATTGATTACGATATATTTTTATGTCTATGGATTATATATATTTATGCAATATATATTTTATCAATTCAAATATTATAAATTGAATCCAATAAATTATAGTAACAATATTCTCTGGTATTTTATATATAATTCCGAACACAAATATTATATATAATTCCAATACAGCGTAACAATATTCTCTGGTATTTTATCTTTTTTTTTAATAATTTTATCTTTTTGTCATTTTGGATTCCCCTTATAATATGTTGCTGTAATAATTCAAACTCTTGTTTTGTATAATATATATATATATATTGAAACCGTTTTGTTTTCTGTCTATAGATTCAACATTTTGTTGAGTTTTCACTTTTTAAAAAAATAGAAGAAAAATCTATTATTATTTTTTTAACAAAAAATTTATGATTTTGAGTGTGCAAATATATATATATATATATACGCGCGCGCGCGCACTCGCGGTCATGTCCGAGGTGCGGCCCGTTACTTGCGGGATGACTGCAGATCCTGCAGTGAATAAATCTCATTCGTCTATCTAATCCAGTCATTCACTATTTGCCATGTGGCTTTTCTACCAAGCCCAAAACGAGAGGGATCTCGCTATTTCTTTTTTTGTTTTTTAATCATCATTTTTTCTTCACTTCTTAATCATCATTTTTACTTATAACACTGCATTAAATAAATTTATTTTAATCATATATTTAATAAATAGCCATGATTAAGAAGTGAAGAGAAAATGATGATTAAAAAAATGGAAGCACCTCCTTTTGCCAATGTCAAAGTTAAGTTTCATATTCAAGACAGAGAAATTAAAGGGTCTTGTCAATGGCCTAGTAATGTAGTGATATGAAAAATCCTCTATAAATGAGAAGTTATAAGTTTAATTTTACTTATAACTTTAGGCTGCAAGTTCAATCTGTTTATCTGTTTATAACTTTAAGTTGGTTAATACTTGTTCTTTTATTTTTATTTTTTATTTTTAAAAAGAAGAGGCCTTGGAATCTTCTCCTAAATGCTAAAACCAAGGGTGATTACATGAATGAGCTAACCCCAGATGAGTCACGATACCATTAATGAAGAATTGGGTTAGCTTTTCAATAAAATAAAATAACGCGAAAAAGGTTTAATTTGGATCAAGTGTAGGATCGCATGTGCAATGTTGTATATCCCAGTAGATATGACTTGTCAACAAGTCATTCCATGACATTGGAGGCACTCTTGGAAGGCACGTGGCAGTCATGGAACGGATGGCTCAGGTGGATGGACATGATTTTTTTGGCTGTATAGGATGTATAGTTCACTCTTCCGTAAACAAAAACAACTCAAAACATGAATATAGACATGAAAATAAAGCCAACAGATACTACCAAATCACAAGCAAGCAATATTGTTTTGCAAACTGAAACAACTGTTACTATCGGTAACAATTGGCGATCATCTTCTAGGCACATACAGATACAGATAAACACAGGGCAAAAGCTAGGAACAAGTGCAGTTCACTGATCACCACACTATCCCACGCGCCACTTAACATATAAAGAATAAATTAAACCCATCGATATACACTTGCACTGTGGCATTGCAATACCAAACGAACAATACAACCTCGCAATACAAAGGTAGTGGACATTTACAATTAATAGGAACGTGTTCTGAAGACGCTCTGTGTTTTCAGGATTAATTGCCCATCAGGAGGTTTGTTGATCCGTCCATATGGCGGAGAAAGGCTTATCCTTGGTCCAGCTCCTTAGCTTCAGAATCACGAAGATAATCATTCCACACAAAAACCCAAGAGCCGCACTCGAACCCACCAGAGAAATTGCAGTACACAAAAGCATCACAAAGGAATTTTCTTTGGTATTCATGTCCCTGGAAGCCATGGCCAGCTCAATCCCAGCAAATAACAGCAAAACCCCAAGTATCCCCACAGGAAACTGGTTTAAAATGTGAGCCAGAGAACTCCCTAATACCAATCCCAACACGAACTTGACCGCACCAAGAAGAGCCACGCAACCACCACTCCTTCCACCGAACTTGTACTGCCCCGCAAGTCCACCAGCTCCATGGCACGTAGGCATGGATCCAAACCAGCATCCTACCAGGTTCATCAAGCCCACTGTTACTGACAGTGAAGTGACCGAAAATTCCTTCCCTGGAAACAGATCTGAGGACAACTTGCAAACAGCTATCACAGAGTTCAGGATTGATAGTGGCAGCTGAGGAATTGTGCCTTTGATAAATCCGCGCTTCCATTCTTGTCTAGAGATTTTCACCACTTTCATAGAGGAGGGTCCGAATTCGATTTCATGCACCACCTTAGGCTTTCTTATGAAGGCCAAAACAACCCCCACTATGAAGATTATAAAAGCTGAAGGAAGTGAAAAGATAATCTTTCTCACTCGGTCCCTCCTGTTTCTTCTCCTACCTTCAACTTCAATGTCCCTCTGTTGTTGATCGGAACCTTCTCTTGTTTCGCAACAACCCCGGATATTCTCGCCGGCCCCGTTCACCATGACGATGAAGCAAAGACACACAATGGCCAGAACCAGACCATCCAAGCCAAACCAGGGCCTATTTCCTGTAGACTTTGATTTGGGTAAGTTTTGTATTTTCCTGACGTATTTTACAGCAGTCAAAGCGAAGGACAAGCCTTGAGCTAGCTGAATCCCTCTGACCACGCACAGAGGAATCAGCCTGTATGCTAGCTGCATCAACCCCGTCACACCTAGTACGAAAAGGATCCCGCCAGTCAAAATTCCGGAGGCCATGATTTCCGGCACCCCGAAGTCAGTGTCGGAGATGGCCTGGGCGGCGATGGACTTCATGGGCTGGACAGGCATGGGGACGCCGTATATGACGCCAGTAATGAAGTTGTAGATGCCGGTAAAAATCAACGTGGTGCCAAGGTCGAGGTCTCTGGCTAGAGTCAAGGCCAATACTATGGGTATGTAGGTGCCAAGGTCACCCATGGCTCCGTTCAACTCCGCCCATTTTGAACGGAAAACCAAGTTTGCTTTCACTTTCGGAAGGGAGACGCTGGCCCAGGAACCAGTTGTTGAATCGGCTTGGGCGGTTTGGGAGGCGATTTGGGCTATTTCTGGGTCCGGGTCTGGAGGGTTTTCAATGGCCATGGATGCTGTTCAACCGTAATCAAGTTTGATCGGGAACGTGGAGCATGGGTTATCTCATTTATAAGCAAGTATAATAATTTCGATTTTCTATAAAAATCTAACAAGTCAATGATATTGACAAATGACAAGTTGTGTGGACATTAGCTAGAGAAAAAGACAACTTGGGATCAGAATAAGATTAATGAGTAAATAGTTTCTGAATCATTGTTCAAAAATTACTTTAAATTTTAAATTCTTAAAATATATAAAATTAATTTTAAATTTTTAAAATCATAACAAAATAAATTATGATTATTAATTTTTTTAATACCGTTATTGTTTAAGCAGGTATTGTAACAGTCAGGATTAAATTCGTAAAAAAATAAACCCTGAATAATATATGTATGGATAGTAACGATGTTAAAAATTTAACAGTTAAGATTTATTTTACTTTAAATTTAAAAATTTAAAGTTTTTTTTAATATTTTAAGAATTTAGGACTTAAAATGATTTTTGAGCAAGAATTTATAATTTTATTTACTCATTAACCTATCAAAATAATAACAATAATAACGTTATCAAATATATGATTATGTCTTGCATCAAAATACGTGTGTGTGTGTGTGTGATTATGTCATCGGGAAAAGAACTGCTATATTTTTAGCGTTAGTTCTTTCATTCTTTTTGTTATGCTGAAAAAATTAAAGTTTAGTCAAAATAATAATAACTACATTGTTATCAAATATATGATTATGTCATCAGGAAAAGAATAGCCATATTTTAGCGTTAGTTCTTTTATTATTTTTGTTTTGCTAATACATCATTTCATTTTGGAATAATGAACAAAATGAATAACATTCTATGGATAAATAAATAAGTAAAGTAGGGTAATGAATAAGTGAAATAGGGTAATTTTGATATTAATGTAAATGAGAGGCAATTCTATCATTTTTTTCATAAATTTAGTATTAAATTAATACTCCTAAATTTCAATGAAATTTAAAAAATTTAGAGGTCTTAAATTTAATTAAGTCTAATATAAGGGGTCTTTATTAAAATTCTTCCATTTTTTCCTCAAGTATTTTCCAAAAGCATCTAGCATCACAAAATATTTGTTGAAATATTTTTGCCCTTAAAACAATTAAATTGAAACATCCTCCATCCTGTTGTAAAATTCTCATAAATGCCCTTTAAAAGAAGTTGACTTAAACTGAACTCTAATTTAATGAATGTTTTTAGGAATTTAATGACAGGATAGAAGTTACTCTGATTTGATTACTTTAGAGGTGAAAATTTTTTAACAAATACTTTATGATAGTGGTTGCTTTTCAAATAAAATTTCAGGGACAAAATTAAACGTTTACCTTTTAAAATATAACAAGTTACCCGAACTGTGGACTTACCCTTACACCCACTGACTTGCAACGAATATTTGAGAAGCTGGACGGGAACGAGGATGGATTGGTGAGCCATGGAGAGATAAAATGGCCGCTGGACTTGGCTATGATTTCGCCTAGACGAGATCGAGGATCTAGTTGGAAAAAAAGAAGCTGAGCTTGAATGAATTCTTGTTCTTTCTGTGGTTAGCTGGAGAATGCTGGGCAAGACCAGGAGCAAGTCCCGTACTTCTGTACATACCTATTAGAGCTGCACTAAGACTAGTGTCAGGATCTACTCGTGAAAGATCAATGAAACCCATTGCTTGGAGCTGGCATCTCAAGAAGCTTGAATACCAAAAGCAAACTGTGTATGTTAGTGTGATCCAAGACATCAATGTAATTGGCACGCAGAACTCCGAATTAGAATTGATTCAAAACGTTTTAAAGGCAAATAAAGTTCTAGAATACTCTAAAAAAAACTCTTAGAATATTGAGTTTAACCTAAGGTATTCAGGCTCATGGGTTTAATTAGCTCAGTTAATGTTATTTTTTAAAAAAATTAGGGAATTAATTTATCTTATTTTAATTTTAAATTTAGATTTATAAAAATTAGTTTATTTTGTTTTAATAAGGATGAAACATATTCATTAAAGACATGATTTATCCATTTGAAATCATGAATTAACTATGATTGCATTATTTAGGGTTTTTTTAGAAGCTTATTTAAACAATTCAGCCTTCTTTATATTTTTAAAACTTGATTGAATTTATGAATAGAATTTCTTTTCAATTGTGAGGATATTTTAATTAATATTATTTTTTATGAGATAATAGACTGTGAGATTTTTAATTATTGTGAGCTATTTCTCAATTGCCCTGTATCAACTCGATTCTGAAAATACGGTGAACCATGAATTATTTCCCATCTTTGCAAGATCATCACTCCAACAGTTCTCGTTTGTTGGTCTTGTAGGAGCCACTATAGTAAAATAGTAAAAGCCACAAAAATCACCATAAATAATTAAAATAAAAATAAAAAATAAATGTTATCCAAAAAATTAAAACCTAATAAATAAAATTTGTTGAATTGTTCCAGAAAAAGTATTTTAACTAACAAAGTAATTATATTAGTTATTGGTGATTCTATTAAAATATTATTATTAAATTCATTCATTGTTATAATATTATATTAAATAAATATAAAAGTCACGTAGATACTAATTATGTAAAATAAGTCAAAAAAATTTTGTTTTTCTTAAAATATGGCCTGGGAGCAATTTATCAAACAATTTTTTGTATATTTTTTAGTTTTTAAATATGATTTTTAGAGTAATTATTTTAAAAAAATTATTTTTTCTCTGAACATGTTTTTCAGAATACCAATTTTCAAAACGAAAAAACGAAAACGGTCTCAAATATATCTAGTGTTTTTCAACAAAATAATAGAGAGATATTACTTTTATTAAATAATTATGTATATAATTTTAAGCACGAGGAGAACCTATTTTTGCCAATATATTTTACTTTGAATATTAATGAAAAAATTGTTGCCAAAGAGAAAAATTTGGTTGATTCATAATTGATAGAGCGAGGCTCTCGTCACTTAAAAATAGAGAGAGAGAAAAATGCATGCACAAACATGTGACAAATTCTGTTGAATTAAAGCTTCTCAGTTTTTTACCCAAAAAAAAAAAAAACACTTCCCGGTTATTTGCTGGGTGATATTCTTAAAAAATAAATGTCTATCATCGTTTGTCAAAAAAATGTCTATTATTATTGTGCAGGACTTTTTTTGTTTGACCTGAATTGTGCAGGACTTATGATGAATATGAAATGATATATACAAATATATTTTAGGATTAATATATAATTTATATTTTGAACTATAGGTTCATGCATGATTTAAATACTAAACTCATATTTAATACATTTTGAATCTTAAACAATTAAATTTGAAACAATTTCATCCGACTGTTAAATTAAAACAAACATCCATTATTTTTTTAAAAAAAATGAAGCCTAATGTGTAATTTTTTAAAGAAAAGAAAGAGGGAGAGTGGAATTTAAGAAAAATTTTACATCAAACCCAACTTTTTAATATAATAACTGATGTTTGTTTTAATTTAATGGTTAGATAAAATTATCTCAAATTTAATTATTCAAGATTTATAATACACCAAGTATGAATTTAAATTGTCTCTGAATTTATAGTACAAGGTTAAATTACATATTAGCTCTATATTTCATTTGAATTTTAAGTCACCGGAACGCAATAATGTTTACAGTAAAGATACGTCATTTATACTAAAGATATGTCTAAAACCCTAATTGTTTGAACGACTTGATTTATTAATTGAATTTTTCCCACAAAAAATCTGGTTGGTTTTTGGTTAATATTTATTAGCACTAAGCGGTAAGGGGCCAAATAACCATATATGGCGATTCTAAAATTTTCAAGGTCACATCATGTTAAAAAAGAAAAAGGTCAAGTTGTCGAAAACTTAAAATACATACATTTCAAATGTTGACTTTTATTTTTTAAGTTTTAACAACAAAAACACGTATCTTTCAAGCATGAAGTCAAAGTGTCATGTTGGCATCGGGATACCCATCCTCCCCCATGTCAAGAGTTCGAATCTTTCAATTTTAAACCAAAATAAAAAAATTGCCTGTGTGAATCACGGAATCTTACGAGGTGAGACTGTGGATGTTAATTAAAAGCTCGATCTCTAATTAACGTCACTTACGTGTTAATAGAACAAACGAAAAAGTATATAATCATTATCATTGACTTTCCATTATTTATTTATCCTTCGATTATTCGATAATTTATCAGGATGTTGTGTGGTTTTCTGAGAAACAATATCATAGCTAGACTCATTAGTTTATTTGCACCTGGAAGCAGACCTTCTGGCTTTTCTTCTATATATATATATATATATGTATATAGGATTTGTATAATCGCCCCACTGCAAAATGATGATGCTGATGGACTTTCACTTCTTTTTGCTGTTTTCTGATTTCACCGACACAAAGTCAAACATTCCTTCTTTCCATTTCAATGATTGAATCCCGTTCGAAGGACGCTCAACGTGGCCCAATCCATCTCACATCTCTGTAAACCTGCAGGTGCTCATTCTCTCCTGGTTTTTCCCATGCCCTCACAATTTTCACATCATGGGTGAGCGTTTTGAAAAAAAAAAAAAAAAACACTTTTGTTTTAGTAGACGTTTCATCCAAGCATGTCTTCTTCTACTTCTTTCATTCATTCATTCTTTCTTTCTTTCTTTTTTTTTTTTTTTTTAACTACAAAATGGACTCTTCATTCAAACAGAACCTAAACAATGTACAAATCAGCAGAAAAAAACTGGAGAAACCAAGCATGTCTTCAAAGAAATCCCCCTACAACTTTAACAGTAAAGAATCAAACTGGCCTGTCTGGCCTCAATAAAATTAATATATTTTTAAATAAATGAACGAATACACGCACGCACGCACGCGGGCATGTATATGTATGCATGCATGAGCCATCTAATTAATTTAAATAAATAGTGAACACGGAATCTCACAAGCGCAACTGGGAATGAGGGAAAAAAGTGCAAGATAACGATTTTTTATTTTGATTTTATTCCAAGTCAACTAAGGTGCAAGATGCCAGTCAAGCTCTCAACATCAGATTCAGTCAGTGTCTAGTAAATGTTAATTAAAAGCTAAATATCTAATTAACGCCATTTGCTTGCGTTAATTTAAAAACGAACCGGTATATCACCATTACATTGACTTGCAATTATTTATTTATCTTTCGATATAGTTTATTAGGATTTTTATAGTTTTCTAAGACACAC